ATAGTTGGGTGTCTATCGTGCATAAGGGCCCTGGGTTTGATTTCCAGTACTTCAAAAAAAAAAAAAAAATCAAATTAATGGGCTGGGGTTGTGGCTCAGCATTAGAGTTGTTTTTTTTTTTTTTTTTTTTTTTTTTTAAAAAAGGGGGGGGGGGAGAGAGAGAGAGAGAGAGAGAGAATTTTTTAATATTTATTTTTTAGTTCTCGGCAGACACAACATCTTTGTTTGTATGTGGTGCTGAGGATCGAACCTGGGCCGCACGCATGCCAGGCGAGCATGCTACTGCTTGAGCCACATCCCCAGCCCTAGAGTTCTTGCCTAGCATGTGCGAGGCCCTGGGTTTGATCCTCAGCACCACATAAAAAAATAAATAAACAAAAAATAAAGGTATTGTGTACAACTAAAAAATAAACATTTAGGGCTGGGGATGTGGCTCAAGCAGTAGTGCGCTCGCCTGGCATGCGTGCGGCCCGGGTTCGATCCTCAGCACCACATACAAAAAAAAAACAAAAGATGTTATGTCCGCCGAAAAACTAAAAATATAAATGTTAAAAAAATTCTCTCTCTCTCTCTCTCTCAAAATAAATAAATAAATAAATAGAAAGAAATAAAATAAAATAAATATATGATGAATTGCATGTAGGAATTAATTACAGGAGGCCTGACATGCAATAAGCTCTCAACTGTTGCATGATCCTGCATTTCTGTCCTACTTCATCCTGATTCTGAGTCCCAGACACTTGAACTCAGAGACCAAATTGGAAGTCTAAGCCAGCCGGCCGGCTGTTCACCCACATGTACATACACACATACTGCCATCCATCCACCTGCTCACTCATCCATCCATCCACCCTCCCTGCCACTTGTCCATCCTTCCATTCATCTACTCACGCACACATAAACCCATACATCTACCCTTCCTTCCATCCACCCACTGAGCACTGATCAAGAGACCAGCGTACCAGTCACTGGGGAGACAGTAATGAACAAGGCAAGGGAGAGTTTTTCTCTCATGTTCACATCCTGATAAACAAAAATGTTAAAGGCATGTAACAAAAAGGACTTATGTTGACACTAAGTAAACTGAGGTGATGAGAGAGAGGAGGCCAGAGGGAGGGTCAGCAAGATGGATTCACCAGGGAAAGGCCTGTCTGAGAGGGTGACTGCTGAGCCAACCTCTAGAAGGGAAGAAGCCAACTGTTTGTTGTTGTTGTTGTTTTGAGGCGGGGTACAAGGGATTGAACTCAGGGGCACTTGACCACCGAACCACATCCTCAGCCCTATTTTGTGTTTTATTTAGAGATAAGGTCTCACTGAGTTGCTTAGCACCTCGCTGTTGCTGAGGCTGGCTTTGAACCTGTGATCCTCCTGTCTCAGCCTCCAGAGCCACTGGGATTACAGGTATGTGCTCTGCACCCAGCTCCAGTTTTTAAGTCCAAGATGCAGCAGGTGAGGACCTGCTTCCTGATTCACAGGGGTACCTTCTTGCTAGATGCTTATGTGGTGGAAGGGATGAGGGTTCCTGGGGCCTCTTTTATAAGGATCTAAATCTCCCTCATGAGGTTCCACCCTCATGACCTATTCACCACCCAAGGGCCTTACCTACTAATAATCTGCCTTTCGGAATTAGGCTTCAACATATGAGTTTTAGGGGGACCATAAACATAAACATCCAGTGTATTCTGTAACAATCTGGGGAAAGAACATTACAGGCACAGGGAATCATACACATCAAGGCCTTGAGATAATAATGAACTTGACCTGTGGAAAGAAAAATGAGGGCAATGAGGGCACCTGCGTAAGAGACAGATCTTCCCAGGTAAGGAGCTTGGGTGGGTCTTGTGCTATCCATGTCCTATTCCCTAGAATCTGTGACTACGTGATATTATATGGAAAAAGGGCTTTGCAGCTGTGAAGGATCTCAAGATGTGGAGATTATCCTGGGCTTAATGTCATCACAAGTGTCCATGCAAGAGGTAGACAGAAAGGGAGGTGGGATGATGGAAACAGAGACCGGAGTGGTGTGCTTTGAAGATACAGGAAGGGGCCACAAGCCAAGGACCACTGGCATCCGCTAGAAGGTGAGAAAGGTAAGGAACTGAGTTTTCCTTTTAGAGCCTCCAGAAGGAGCCAGCCCTGCCATCACCTTAATTTTAGCCCTTGCCAATTCATGTTGGACTTCTGACTTCCAGAAGGCTTAAGGGAATAAATTGGTGTTGTGTTGAGCCATTACATTTGTGATCACTTGTTACAGCAGCAATAGGAAACTAATACAACCAGAGAAGGGACGTGATGATGTGTAGGTTATTGATTTTTCTGGCTGCTGTTACAGAATTGGCTTTAGGAGGATCAAGAGTAACCAGAGTCTGGGGGCAGGTGACAGCAGATATGTGGATGAGCAGCAATGGCAGCCTGGATGAGAAGGAAGAAGCTGGAGGAAGGAGCTCAGATTTTAAGGTGTTAAGTGCCTAAGCTGGCTAGATCTTCTGGTGGTTGGATGTGGTGGGAAAGGGCACAGTGAAGGAACAGGGTGTCTCTGGTAATGAGCACTCCAATTTCCCCTCTTTCCCTGGGGCCTCACACAGCCACCCTGTGCTCGACAGGCTGTTCCCTGGACGCCCAGCGTTTTTATGTGATTATCCTGGAACAGCTCTCCGGGAAATAAATGCCCTCGGTCTAAAAGGCTTTTATGAGCCAGGGCAGGGGATTAAAGGCGGCCAGGCTGTGGAGAAATCCCAGGGTCAGGAGACGGCCGAGCACCGAGACTTTTAATCTAAACCTTAAACGTTTTTATTTTTCACTCCCTGAACTCAGGGTGTCACTTTAAATACATGTTTGGCAACATCAGCTGTTCTATTTTTCTTTTTAATTATACAAAGAGAGATCCTGGGAATGGCTCAGCCCCAGGCTGGGGGAGGCAAGTGAAGTTTGGCAACCGCAGTTGGAGGCAGAGGCACCAACTAAAAATTGAGTGGATTTAAAATCCTTTTGAGAGGGAGCAAGGAGCCCAAACTTCCAACTACCCAGAACCTGGAGTGGCCTACCCTGAGTCAGGACTTCTAAAAAGAGTCTGATAAACTCACCAGCTTAGAATGGACATAGGACAGATGAATGCATCTCTAGGATAAAAATATCACCCACGCTTGCACTGTGTCTGTACCTTGAATTTATTCCCAGGCCCCTCCTTGCTTGCTTCCTGAGTGGAAAACAGTTCACACCATCGGTCATTCCTCAGCATCCACACTGCCTACCATGTGCCAGGCACTGAGCCAAACCATTAATGTGCATTCTCTCCTTTTATGTACACAACTGATCTGTGTGAGTAGGTGCTATTAGTATGCTTGATTCTAGATGGGAAATCTGAGGCTCGATAGAGTAAATTGAACCTTACTCCCTAGGGCTGGGGCTGGGTTTCTTTGACCTCAAATGCATTCCTTGCCTTTCCTCTGCTGTCCTCTGGACCACAGGAAGGCCAACCCTTGGAGCGGCCAAATCAGGAGACTTACTGAGCCTACCTGGTGTCTCCAATCCCTCCTGGGTCCAGAAACGCCGCCTCCTGTCTCCATCCTTCTAGCAGTCGGAGTGATGGTAGACCCCCTGCTCTTGCTAATTTGTAGGGGCTTCCCCTCTGGTTTGCCCCCCTCCACAGGCCTTCCACAGCCTGTGGGGCAGCTCTGTATTAATTCCTCTCTTCTGGTACCTCTTTTTCCTAGTTGGAGTCTCAAGAATATATGGCCTTTGGTAAAATCAGATAAGCCAATTCATTGGGTTTGGAATGAGGCAGTCCTCCTTCTCTGAGCACAGTATATCCCGCAAGAGGGAAAAGAGTAGCTACCACTTATTGAGCGCTGTACTGAATGCCAGACAAATGTTCTTTCGTGGAATACTCAATCCCTGTTGCCAGTTGACAGATGGGGCTTTGAGAGGTTGGGTTGCTTGCACAGTTATAAACTGTGGCACAATTATAAACTGTCAAATCAGGGGTTCAAATCCAGGTGAGCCTTGATCCAAAGTCTGTGGTTTTCTAATCTCTCTTGATATTCTGAACACACTGGCAGCCCCGGCCCACAAACACGCTAAGATTCCACTTCCTTGGCTGACTAAGGCCCCACCCAGCTCACTTACTTACAGAAATCTCTAAATGCTGCTATAACAGCCCTTCATGTCACAACCTAGGGGCTTTGAACTACAGAAATTTATTGTCCCCTAGTTCTGGAGACCAGAAGTCTGAAATCAGCTGATATCTATAGCCATACCAGTGAAGTTGCACGATCTTGCCCAAAATCAGTGTATCAGCAGGACCTCATGCTCTGAGGGGTTAAGGAGAAGATCTACCTGTTCAGGCTTTTCTCCCAGCTTCTGGTAGCCTCCAGTGTTCCTTGTCTTATAGACAGCTCTCTTATCCAATGTCTGTCTCCTCACATCGCCTTCCTCTGGGTGTGTCTGCCTATTGTTTTGTTGTTGTTGTTTCTTTGTTTTCTGTACTGGTGTTAGAACTCAGGGGCACTTTACCACTAAGTTACATTCTCAGCCCTTTATATTTTTTATTCTGGGACAGGGTCTTGTTAAATTGCTGAGGCTGGTCTTGAACTTGGAATCCTCCTGCCTCAGCCTCCTGAGTTGCTGGGATTACAGGCCTGCACCACTGTGCCCAGCTTCTAGGAAGACATTTAATCCTGCTGATGTCCCACCCCTTTAAAGGATACCTGATATTCCTCAATATCACCAAAATATTCACTGATAAAATTTATTCCAATATTTTACTACAAAACATATATAAAGGATTTAACACTGCTAATTTTGAAAAAGAACAAAATTGAAAGACTTACCTCTACTTCAAGATTTATTTAATTAAATTTTTTTTTTTTTTAATTTTGCCAGGCACAGTGGTGCATACCTATAATCTCAGTGGCTTGGAAGGCTGAGGCAGGAGGATCACAGGTTCAAAGCTCTAAGCAACTTCGTGAGACTCTGTCTCTAAATAAAAAATAAAAATAGGGCTTGAGATGTGGCTCAGTTGTGAAGCACCTCTAGGTCCAATCCCTGTACAAAAAAAAAAAAAAAAAAAATCAGTTTGATTGGGAAGACGAGACAGAGGATCACAAGTTTGAGGCCAGCCTGGTCAACTTAGTGAGATCTTGTCTTAAAAGACTGGGGATGGGCCAGGGTTGTGGATCAGTGGTAGAGCACTTGCCTAGCATGCATGAGATACTGGGTTTGATCCCAGGAACCACATAAAAATAAACAAATAAAATAAAGGTATTGTGTCCATCTACAACTACAAAAATATTTATTAAAAAAAAGAAAAAAGAAAAAAGATTGGGGATGCAGCTCAGTAGTAGAGCACCCACCTAGCATGCATCAGGCCCTGGTTCAATCCCTAGTACTTCTCCCCACACACCAAAAAAAAAGGTATAGGTACAAACCCATGAACCCAGACATTTTTCTGATAGGGGCTGGGGTATGGGTCTGGACTGAGCCCTACCAGTTGAAGAACTGGGGAGCAGGAGGCAAAGCATACGTTCCCCACAGAATGGTCTCTAAACTCCCAGTCCAGAGAATCCTTTTGAGATCAACACAGACACAAAACCTAATTATGAATTTTGCACTAGTCCCTTGATAGTCTCTAAATTTTATTTTTAAATATCTTTTTTTGTAGTTGTAAATGGATACAATACTTTTATTTTATTTATTTATCTTTATGTGGTGCTGAGGATCAAACCCAGGGCCTCATATATGCTAGGCAAGTGCTCTATCACTGAGCCACAACCTCAGTCCTTTTTTTCTTTTTTTTTGGTACCAGGAATTGAACTCCACAGCACTTACCACTGAGACACATCCCCAGCTCTATTTTGCATTTTATTTAGAGACAGGGTCTCACTGAGTTGCTTATTGCCTTGCTTTTGCTGAGGCTGGCTTTGAACTTGTGATCCTCCTATCTCAGCCTCCTTAGCTGCTAGGATCACAGGCATGTGCCACCGTGCCAGGCTCTAAATTTTTTTCTAGCCTTTTAACCCCAATTCATTGACTATGAAAATCTGGCTCATTCAGAACTGCCTTCCAATGTGAAGCTGGCACCGGGGTAGGGTGGCAGAAGGATTTCACACATTCTATGTGACACATATAGGGACTTGCTGACAGGGAGGCTGATATCAGCTCCACAGGACAAGTCTTGAACCATTAGAAACAACTGATACACACATGATGGCTTTCAGAATGAGTGAGCTTCCCATCACCTCAGGTATACAAGTACTATTCTGCAAGAGTAGAAGATCAAGAAATGGTGGCTCTTTTATTATTACTAATTGGGGGGGAGGGGTTCTAGCTTTAGAGCAGTGAGAAGAGTCAAGCCATCATAATGGCTCCAAGAAAGCATGCCTTTTGAACAAAATGTAAGTGGACATTTCTTTGAGAACTTGTTGGGCAAGAGGAGCCAGAGGGGGGCTGGGGATGTGGCTCAAGTGGTAGCGCGCTCGCCTGGCATGCGTGCGGCCCGGGTTCGATCCTCAGTACCACATAGAAACAAAGATGTTGTGTCGGCCGAAAACTGAAAAATAAATATTAAAAAATTAAAAAAAAAAAAAAGAGGAGCCAGAGGGTTTCTCCAGAGCTGGATATCAGATTGACCTCTGCTGAATATCTGAGTGAAGGCTTGGGCGTCCAACTTTGGGGTCCACGAGTAGATATCTGTAATATCTCATCTTTGCTTAGAGAATCAGGGCTCAGAGAGGTTGGGTAATTTGTCCAAGGTCACATTGCAACTGAGCAGCCAATGGGACACACAACCTTCAGCACCATAAAAGACTCAAAATACTTGAACCCTAAATACCATCTAGTTCAGTGGTTCTCAGACTTTGACTGAAAAAGTTGCTAAAGTTAAACTGCTTGGATGGGTTTTCATTACTTGCATTTTAACAAACATACCTTTGGAAACTCTGATGTTGGGGACAGGGATGATCAAGGTTGCTGTGAAGTTCCGGATTCTGGAAACCCATCAACTGGGTTAAAAGACCTATCCTACTACTTCTTCTGGGCCTCATTTTTCTCATCTGTAAAATGGTGACATTAACACCATGGGATTATTGTGAAGAATTCCCAAGTTTAATGTAACATATTTAGTAAAATAATAAACTAAATAATTTGGTATTAGATAACATAATCTTACATATTTAATATGTTACAGTGCTTAGAATAGTGCCTGTCATTAGGAAGCACTAGTTTAGTGATAACTACTTTTTTACCCCACGTGAAGGAGAACTTGCTACCTCCCAAGGCAGCTCATGACACCTTTGATCAGCCCTGGACTGTGGCCATTGGTCAGCATGGGCCAGATAGCCACAGTCCTTTCAGTTGGATTTCTATAACCTTGTGCATAGTTGGTTGAAAATATTTTATTTGGCTTTTTCAGATGTAAGCCCCCAAAGGACAAGAGCACACCTCCAAGCCATAAGGGGGAGCCATGCGTGATGAAGGCATTGCAGGAATTGGAAGTCTAGATTTTGTGTCCTTTGGCAAGGTGCTCTCCCCCTCTCTCTGTCTGAGGTCTCAGTTTCTCCATTTGTTAAATATGGGTTTGGTGCATCTGGCTCTAACAAGGTCAAGTTATTACAAACTGGCCCTTGAGCACTCTGAGACAGGAGGCAGACCCTCCCAGACCCTCCCCATGGGGTTGAACCTAGGTCCTCACACATGCTCTATCCCAAAGCTATATCCTGGCCCTTTTTATTATTTCTGATTTGTGCAAATGATGAGATTCAAAACTAGAAACTTAGAAGAGGGGGAAGGGAATGATGTAGGAACTTGAAAAGGAAACCATCCTCACTCCCTTTCTGAATCACCACTCCCAGGTTCTTTTGTTCCTCCTCAGTCAGCAAATCTCTGCTCTTGGCTTTCAGTCTCTTCCCCCTCCAGACCTCAGACCCCATCCACCTCTGGATATTGTGTATCCCCAGATGGGGTTTCTCTGTAATAAGGGACATTCATTATTTTATTCATTGAACTGCTTTCTTTTGGGAAGCATGAACTCCACTCTCAGGAAGGTCTTCTGCCAGTGGGGAACAGGGACAAACAGGGCAACAAATAAGCAAGCTAGGTGACTTCAGATACTGTGGTGATCAGAGGTATGAAGGGAAAACATCAGAGTGAACAACCAATGGGCTGCTTGGTTAGGGAAAGTCTCTACAGGTGATATCTGAACTGAGACAAAGGGAAGGAGTAACAAGTACAAAGACTCCCAGAGAAACAAGCCCAGAGGGGTGAGACTTCAAATCCCAAGTTTCCAATCTTCATAAAAACACGGAGGGCCGAGTCTGGAGCAATCCCAGAAACTTGGGAAGAGGGGGGCCTTCAGTCTTATCCCATAATGCGGTTGGGTTGAGGGCCGCCCTCTAGTGGTAACAATAGTAAAATATCACATTTGCAGACCTGGAATGCCACATGCCGGTGACTTTATGGGCTAATTCTGTCAGGCTAATTCAGTCTTGTTTCTCTCACATTTATTCACTCAACAAATATTTCCTGAGTGCTGAGTATGTGCCAAGGGGTCTTCTCAAATGCTAGGGCTAGAAGCTGTGAAGTCAATAGGTTTCTGCCCTGGAACTGATATCCTAGCTGGCAATTCTTAAGCCCAGTACTCTGCCTCTGCTCACCTCTTCCCCACTCCCCACCAAGGAAAATTGGCTTTCTAACGCTCCAACAGCCAGAGAGCTCAACTTCAGAGTGTTTCTTTTGCAGTTCCCTTCCCCCTGGAGTGCTAGGCCCTGGCTCTGCATTGCTGGCTCAGGTATCAGCTCAAATGTGACCTAGTCAAAAAGGTGTGTACTTATTGTCTGGCCCCCAAATATAAAATTCCACGAAGGTTATCATTTTCTTGGAATCCCTCAGCTTCACACTTTTCTTAATGTGTACTCAGAAGACACCTATTGAATGGGTTTGAGAGTTCACTGTTAGGAAACTTATTAATGGGGTACTGCCAGGCCCAATGCGTGTCAGATGCTTGAAAGTGTAAGCCAAAATAAATTAAAAGCTCCTAACATTCTAAAATTTAAACGGCATCCCTGGTACTACCCCTCCTTACCCTATTTTATATTTTCCCACACATTTACAACCTTCTAAAGTATTGAAATGTACTTATCAGTGTTTGTGTGTCTCTGCCGCTAGAATGTGAGCTCCAAGAGAGCAAGGGATTTTTGTCTCTTGTTCACCAGCCTACCTGTCCTTAGCGCCAGGAACAGTGTTGGCACCCAGTAGGCATTCAATAAACACCGAAACAACTTCAGACCTCAGCTTGCTGTTTTTCCAACAGACTTTGCGCCACCTTGTTCCAAGGGGGAAACGTGCCTCAGAAGGCGCTCAAAGGTGACCTTAGACGGCTCGACCCAGGAGTCTGAGCTCTGGGAGCAGGGCCATAGCACAGCTGCGAAGGGACACGCCAAGAGCAGGAGCGCAGCAAAGCCTACGGACTTGTGGCGCTTCCAGGAAGAGGCGCGGACACGAGCAGCTGCGCGCCCGCGGCTGTGGGCGGTGCCATCAGAGGCGGTGGGTCACATGACCCGCGAAGGCGACGCCCACCCAGTGGTGGGCGGGGGCCCAGTGGGAGGGACGCATGCAAATAACGCCGGGGCGGCGGCCAATCGCTGTACGCGCCGAGGGTCCGGACCCGGGACGGGACGCTGGCCCGCGCGCAGGCTCGGGTCGCGACCGCCTGGGGCTTTGGCGAGCGGCGCGACAGGCCTGAGAGCTGGAGCTGCAGCTGCTTACTACACCTCCTCCTTGTCCTGTGCGGCGGGCCGGGAGAGGCCGGGCCCGCGTGGGGGGCAGGCGGCGGTGCGGCGGGGGCCGCGACCGCTGCCTTCGCAGGCGCCCGGGCCGGCCCGCGCCTTTGCAGCGTGCTCCATGCATCCGGAGCCCGCCCCGCCCCCGAGCAGCAGCAACCCGGAGCTTCCCCTCAGCGGCGGCAGCACCACCAGCGGCAGCCGCCGGAGCCGCCGCCGCAGCGGGGACGGGGAGCCCCCGGGTGCCCCACCGCCGCCGTCCGCCGTCAGCTATCCGGACTGGATCGGCCAGAGTTACTCCGAGGTGATGAGCCTCAACGAGCACTCGATGCAGGCGCTGTCCTGGCGTAAGCTCTATTTGAGCCGCGCCAAGCTCAAAGCCTCCAGCCGGACCTCGGCTCTGCTCTCCGGCTTCGCCATGGTGAGCTCGGGCCGCCCTGCCCTCCCCCCTCCTGCTCCGGCCGCTCCCGCCCGCAGCCCCGACGGGGCCCACTGGGGAGCAGGCTGGGCGGGCCGCGGTGAGGGGAAGAGCTGGGAGAAGCCGTCGTGGACGCGAGAGGGGGGCCAGAGGCGCTGGACGTGAGGAGAGGTGGGCGACAAGGGACACCCGATGTGGGGTGGTGACAAGTCGTGCAGGTGTTCAGGGATACAGGTGCCTTAACCAGAGCAAGTAGGGTGCAGCAAATGGGAAAGGGACATAGCACGAATGATGCGTCCCCAAAGTTAGGTCTGTAAGAATACCACCCCGCGTGATGAGTCAGGGAAAAAGGAGGAACTTAGAGCGTCCGACCTATTTGGGGGCAGATATCCGGAGGTGAGGATAGGGAGACCCCGGAGCTGTCTTGTGCCCCAACAGCTGAGGCCGGAAGGTGTTGGCTATATTCTTTTATCAACTAGTAGAGGGGATTTCCTGACACCCTTTTTTTCCGCCCCACTTTCCGAGAGCCTCAGCCTGGGAGTTTGACAACCACTTTCCACCCTCAGTTTCTTCTCCTGAAACTAGCCACTGAGTCACTGGGTGTGGGGGACGAGGTGGGACATGTTCCCCTTGAACAGGCTCTTCTTTGATTGCAGGCATGTTTTCCTCTCCTTTGATCCCAAGGGGCTGAAGTGAGAAGCCTCTGTGTGGGGTGGGGAAGGCTGCAGATTTGGCCCCAGAAGTGGCTCTGGGGATACCTTCAGGCCTGGGATCTTGGCATTTCTCTGGGACAGGATACTGCATAACCACTACATCATTATTGCTTTCAGTGACATCAGCCTGCATTAATGGAGCCTACCCCCCCACCCCAGCACTCCTGCCTCCCCTATGATGAGCTAAGCCCTTGGCCTTGAGGATGGGAGTGGCTGCACCCTGATGTTTTCTTGGGAAGGGAGTGTGTGGCTGGGTCTCTCCTTGTGCTCTACAAACAAGTGGGTCAGTGCAGCAGAGCCCAGAGTACACTGGGCCACAGTGGAAAGGCCAGGAGATTAGGGGTCAGGAAGCAGCTCTTCAGCTTTGCCACTTGCTGCCTGTGTGACTTCAGGCAAACCACTATCCCCTCTAGACATTATTTATTTATTATCTTTTTTAGCACTGGGAATTGAACCTAGGGCCTTGTACATGCTAAGTGAGCACTTTACCACTGAGCTACATTCCCAGCCCTTTTTAATTAAAAAAAAAAAAAAAATCTTTATTTTATTTATTTATTTTTATGTGGGGCTGAGGATCAAACCCAGGGCCTCAAACCTGCTAGGCAAGCACTATCATGCCGAGCCACAATCACAGCCCTAATTTTTTAAAAAATATTTTTAGTTGTAGATGGATACAATATATTTATTTTATTTAATTTATTTATATGCAATGCTGAGGATTGAACCAAGTGCTTCACAGGTGCTAGGCAAGTGCTCTACCAGTGAGCCACAACCCCAGCCCCCCCAACCCCCTTTATAATTTTTATTTTGAGACAGGGTCAGTTTAAGTCGTGATCTTCCTGACTACCACCCCAGCCCTGAATCTTGATTTCTTTTTTCCTTTTTTGTGGTGCTGGGGATTGAACCCAGAGCCTTGTGCATGTGAGGCAAGCACTCTACCAAGCCCCTGGATCTTGATTTCTGAAATGATAAAAAGATTTCTCTTCCCAATTGAGAATGAAATTGAGGGATCCCTTAAGAGGAGATCTGAGAGAGGAGAGTAAAGGGGGAGATCTCGAATTTTTTTGTTTAGGACAAAATGATGGAATTCTGTTCTATCAGTCTCAAATTCTAAGTGACCAGTTTGTCTTGTGCCTAAAGAATCTCTTAAGAGGGGCTGGGGGTATAACTCAGTTGGTAAAGTGCTTGTCTCACAAGGGCTGAACTCTGAACAAGGCCCTGGGTTCAACCCCCAGCACCAAAAAAAAAAAAATCTCTTAAAAATAGTTGACTTTTCAGGGCTGGGATTATGGCTCAGCAGCGGAGCGCTTGCCTCGCACGTGTGGGACCCTGGGTTCGATCCTCAGCACCACATAAAAATAAATAAGTGAAATAAAGGTATTGTGTCCAACTACAACTAAAAAATAAATATAAAAAAAAAAAAGAATAGTTGACTTTACAGAACACTCACTGTGTGCAGGTTCCCTCCCCCCTAACCTCACTCCTCAGCAATCTCTTGATTTTTTTTTTTTTTAAGACACAACATCTTTATTTGTATGTGGTGCTGAGGATCGAACCCAGGGCCGCACGCATGCCAGGCGAGCACGCTACCACTTGAGCCACATCCCCAGCCCAATCTCTTGATTTTTGTCAAGAGACTTTCCCAAGGCCACACAGCTAGTGTGGTGGAGCTGGATTTGAACCCAGGTCTGCTGGTGCACAAAGCTCTGATCAGTGTCCAGCTAGTGACATGGTAGGACCAGGCTTAGGGAAAAGAAAGAGCAAAACAGTTTCTTTGAAACCAAAGAAAGTTTTTTTCAACTTATGGGGAGGGAGCCACCAGTTGTCAGCTTTTCCCTGCACCGCTCTGGGTTTGAGATGGTGGGATGCCTGTTCCCTTTTCCTTGGGGTTATAAATCATAGTTGCCCCAGACACCTTCTCACCCCAGTACAGGTGAGGACCCGATGGGTAATACTTTCTGGCTTCTCAAATTCTCTTCCTCCTGACGAAAACAGGCCTTCTTCCTCTTGCTAAAAAACAAGTACAGGGGAAGTCGAGAGGCGGGCAACAGTGATCCTTGGGTGGGCCTTGACTCACCCACACTGTCTCTTAGGACCTTTATTTTCCTCAGCCTGTGTGGAGAAGGCTTCCTAGCGCTGCTGAAGGAACCCCCCAAGTTCTGCAGGCAGGGAAGGGCTGAACTCTGGGACAGCCTCCATTCTGGGGCAGCAGTTACCAAAGGGTAACTGTGTTTACCCCGCAGCCGGAATTCTATGGGAGAGATCTGGGTGCAGGGTGGGTGGTCTGACCGTTCCCCACCCTCACCAATACCACCCGGTCCTTGAGTGAGCCTCAGAGAAGAAGGGGTGCCTGGCAGTCCCGACACCATGGCAACAGAATGACAAGTTTCCTGGATTACTCTCCCTTGGCCTATGAGTCAGCACAACCAGCTTCCTGCCCCCAGAGGGCTTCCTTCCTACAGACCCGGAAAATCTAGGAGCTAACATGACCTTTGAACTCTAGGAGGCAGGAGAGTTTCCTAGAATGCCAAATTTACCTGCTCACCAGGTGAGGTTGAGGGGGGATCTTCCAAAAAGCCTGGCAAGAATTCAATGATTCCCTATTCAGGGGAGAGGCCTGGCCCAGTGCCCAAAAGTGTTGGGGATAGGCCTGGGGACCCAGGGCAAGATGCTTTACTGCTTTGAAGCCAGTTTTCTCATGTATACAAAAGTGGAAAGAGTCTCCTCTCGACTACCATAAGGATTCATTTTAAGGCCAGACTGGGCCCTTGAAGCATTGAAGACTTTCAGCATCTGATGATGTACACTTTGGTTGGACGCTGTCTGGTTGGTAGACAGGGTTCCGGCTCCCGACAGCATTTCTACAAGCAACCACCTGTTCATAGAAATGTACCTGGGCTCTGCTAATACAAAACAAGGGCCCCTGGGCCAGGTGTGGTGGCGCATACCTGTAATCCCAGCAGTTTGGGAGGCTGAGGCAGGAGGATCACAAGTTCAAAGCCAGCTTTAGCAAAAGCAAGGTGCTAAGCAACTCAGTGAGACCCTGTTTCCAAATAAAATACAAAATAGGGCTGGGGATGTGGCTCAGTGGCCTAGTACCCCTGAGTTCAAGCTCAGGTACCGCCCTCTCCCCCAAAAAAGAGGGGCCCTGGATCTGAGGGTATCCTTGGGGACGTTGCTTCATGCCTCTGTGTGTCAGTCACCTCTCAGCCACAGGTAAACCAGTCCCAGCTTGTCCCTGTCCCCTGCAGGAGTGTGGTAAGCAGGCGTGGTGATCCAGTCCACTGGGGAGGGCAGGCTGTAACGTTAGCCTAAGCAGACCATAATTGGGAAGGTCGCCCTGCTGCCGTAAACAAAATGCTTTCCACGACCTGGGATCAATTATCTTTGGATTATCTGCCTCCTCAAATTCTCTGCCTGCCAGCACCCTTTGTTCCCAGGTTCCAAAGCAGGTTCAGAAGTTTGTTGGGATTCCTGTGAAAATAAGCTGGAAGGAAGCACTCAAATCACGAGATGTTAGTGAGCCTCCAGGACATGATTGGCGTTCAGAGGGCATGGAGATGAGCAAGAAATGACTATTTCCACTCAGTCCTAATCCCCGGGAGTAATGGTTACTGCTGTGGTTGACTGGGCTCTTGCACTCAGCTAGATAGTGCCAGATGCTCCAAGTGTATCATCTAGCTTTCTATAGCCTGCTAAAGGTTGGTGGTCATCCCAGATGAATCATTTGCCTGAGGTCACCTGACTGGGAAGCCACAGAGCCTTGGGATTATGATAGAGGAAGAGAGGAAACATCCAAGAGTTGTAGGAAGACAGAGCTGAGAAGCTATGTAGTAGAGGAAAGCGGAAACGTTGACTCTAGCCAGGCAACTTGGGTTCAAGTCCCAGGTCTGTCTCTTATGACTGTGAGACCCTAGAGAAATCACTTAAACTCTCTGGGCCTAAGTTTCCTCACACTTGTAATCCCAGGTAATGGGAAGGCTGAGGCAGGAGGATCTCAAGTTCAAAGCCAATCTGGACAATTTCACAAAACCCTGTCTCAAAATAAAAAGGGCTGGAGGTGGTAAAGTTCCTCCTCATTTGATTCCCCAGTATCACCAATAAAAAGTGCTGGGGATAAAGCTCAATGGTACAAGGCCTGCATGTACAAAGGCCCTGCTAGGTTCTTTCCCATCTTCCACCAAAAAAGCAGGAATAAATAGTGCCAACCTCATCAGGGTGAGGATTCACTGAGTTAGTGTATGCAAGGCACTTCCATACAGTACCTGACTTGTTATCCAGGACTTGCTT